TATTCAAACCTATTGATTGTCCCCAGTGAGGCAAGCAGAACTCACATAAAAGAGTCAACTATTCAACTCAACAAACATTTCTTGAATTATTATGTGGAAAGCACTGTGGTAGATGATAAGGAAATTAAGTTAAATTGAGACAGATAGGTTCCTATCCTTAATAACCTCTATTCTAGAAGAATGGAGGTTATTAAGGATAGGAACCTATCTGTCTTTTTGTAAGTATTTTGAACTCTTTTTTAGCACCTTTATTCTTCTTTAAAAATGATTGGGTAAAATGAAACTAACTCTGAGCTGAATGATAATAGAAAATCTGTCACATTTTTTAACATAAACACCCTTTTCACATATTATGAAATTCATTTTTGCACTTGATTTTTCCTTAAAACGTCTTTTATATACTAGTTTCTAAATACAGAACTGGACAGGTCTTTAAATAAAGGCTGTTTTCTCACTGAAAGCACCATTCACATATCTTCAATATCAAACTGAGAGGCAACAGTGGATGGAGGACTGGTCTCAGAGTCAGGATAGCACCATTCACATCTTCCCTTAGACACATGTTGTGTAATTCTGGGCAAATCACTTCCCTTCTTAGGACCTCAGGCCAGCATGCCTAAGAGTAGAAGATGCAGTAGAGATGTTGCGCTGCATCAGCATTTGGAACTTTCTCCCCGGGAGTTCTCTGCAGCAAAGAAATCACAGGTCCAGAACCTTTCTCTTCATTGTCCCCTTCCTCTAGCCCCCTTCCAGAAAAACAAAGTAAAACAAAAACATCTTCATCCTATTGTTTATTACAATTCATATAACTGTAACATAGAAGGGTTTAAGTTAATCAATAGGTTAGAAAGTAAGCCCTCTAACCCTGTTTTTTAGCCTCTATTTTATGTGAACTGGAGAGGAGGCGATTTGAACTTGAAGCTCAGTTACTTAGATTTTATGAACTAGTGTGTATTTCAGATTTTGTAAGGCTCTGTTTCTATGGTGCCAAAGTTTGTTCACCTTTGCCCTAATTAGGTTATTGAGCCAATCATCCCATAGTGTGGCCTTGTTGTGGACCGTTATGCAGTTCTAAAAGCAACATGAAGATGACTGTGTGTAGGATCATAAATTTAGAGCTATAAGGGACCTTGGAGACCATCATATCCAACCCCCTTATTTTACCAATGAAGAAACTGACCCAGAGAGGTTAAGGGACTTGCCCACAATCACACCCAAGTGGCAGAGGTGAAGGTTCCAATCCAGGGCTTCTTGACTCCCTGCTCCATTGATCTGTACCAGGCTGGCTCCTGTATGTTTGAATTACCTGCTTCCTTGTTGATGTATTTTAGGAAATGTTTTAATCTTGGATACTGAGATTTTTAATCATACCAATAAAATAATACCTGAATTTATGTAGCACTTTGCACACATTATTCTCACTTGAGCCTCAAAATCACTCTGTACTGTAGGTGCTACAGATATTATCCCCTTCTCAGATGAAGCAGCTTGGCCTCAGAGAGGCTATATGACTTGCCTGTGGTCACACAGCTAGAAAGTGTCATAGGCAGGATTCGAATCCAGCCTTTCCAATACCAAGTGCAATTCTCCGTCCGCTGTGGAATATGATTGTGTTTATTGTATGATGTAGACACCCTCTAAAGTAAAGCATTGAGCAAAGTCATAGATTAACTTTTATTCATACGCCCTATGCTTGTGGACTTGCTTGGCTCAGGATAGTAAAGAAGTGAATGTTTATTTTCTCATTATGTTTCCCATCAAATTTCTTAGAAAAAAATTGGCTTTTACAAGTAGGTATTTTATTCTGCATTGTGCATGTGTTTAGAAGAAATATGTTTTTTATGTTCCATAGATGTGGTGAAACTGTTCCCAAACGCGAACAGTTTAATGACCTTTCCATTGACCTGCCCCGAAGAAAGAAACCACTACCTCCTCGGTCAATCCAAGATTCTCTTGATCTTTTCTTTAGGGTAAATAATACTATTTGTTAATGGAAATATGTATTTCATAGATTTAGTTCTGATCCATTTCTTTGCAGTGTGTTGTCAGATAGTTGGAAAAAATAATTATCCAAATAGGAATTGTTTAGTATTAACTTTTACTTTGGTGATGGGAGCAGGGGAAAGGTACTTCATAAACCTGTTGATTTGAAAAGAGATTGCTTAAGTGGGATGTTCATTTAGTGTACCAGCAAATGTATTTAGAAAAAACCCTACTTGTGTTTAATATTAATAAACAGGAATGATAATTTGAGGTTAATGAAATTTTATATTAAAGTATTTCTGCTTGTAAGATAGGTTAAATTTTTTAAAATAGGAAATAATTTGCAAATCTATCTTCATAAATCTTTTTGTTAATCAATATATAAATCCTCACTGAGAAGATTGGGGGGTGGTGTCAGGATATATCCTTTGTTTTTTCTTAGGTAGTATGAGAGAAGGGAGAAAAGTCTCATGTTTTAGAACAGTTAGATAAAGTCATTTCTGTGGTTCATAGTGACACATCCTTGAAAGGCCTCTGTGATATAGTTGGAGCTTCCATACAGCAATACTTGTTCGTGAGAATTTGCCAGGATACATTTTGATTTTACAGTAATTTCTATTTTGTTGGAGTAAATTTATGATTTTGCCTGCCTGGGGCTATATAGTGATACTATTTCTTGTATTAATTGACAAGTAACCTTTCATCTTTATTAATCAGTGTGATAATTTGTGAATGTTCTGCCCTTACTCGCTATCCTGGAGTAGGAAAGCACCAACCAAAGAGTAATTTTTTACCTTTATTTGTTTAAAAAAATTATGTTTTTCAATTAACAAGAGTCTAGATTCTCTACCTTCCATTTTATCCTCAACTCCCCACTTAAAAAGAAATAAAAATGAAGCCCTTCTAACAAATATATATAATCAAAGAAAATCAGTTTCCTCATTGGCCACATGTAAAAAATATGTCTCAATTCGCACTTGAATCCATCGCCTCTCTGTCATGATGTGTGTAGCGTATTTCATTATGGGCCTTCTGGAATAGAGTTCTCAAGTATTTCAAAGTTGTTTGTCTTTTCAGTGTTGTATAAAAATTCCTTACGTTTCCACAGGATCACTCGACTAATAGCTATACTTTGAAGGCTTTTTCTCTGGTTTTTAAGTGCTATGTATTTCAGTTATCTTTAGGTGACTGCTGTTTTTTCCCCCAAAAAAGTTTGATCTTTACTATTTTTTTAGAGTATGATGTTTCGTGAATTAAGGTGTCTTTTAAGAAAGAAAATTAAGATTACTTTAGAAAATTAATTGGAACGTAAAAGATTCTTGATTTTTTGATCTCAATTTCTTTAGTAAGGGAAAATCTTCCAAGTTGTGGCCTTAAACAGAAATAGAATTTCACCTGGTTCAAAGTTTCTAATCTTCTTAGTGGGTATGAAGATGCTAGTTCAATCTTGTGTTTGTGTTTTGTTTTTAATAGGCAGAAGAACTTGAATATTCCTGTGAGAAGTGTGGTGGGAAGTCTGCTATTGTCACGCATAAGTTCAACAGACTCCCCAGGTAAATTTAATCCTGGTTCAGTTTTGCTTCTTTGGCATTCTTTTTATTTCTCCTTGAAAAGTGGAATACCTGAGAAAAGTAGAAAACCTGAAAGATTGAATGCATATATAGGAACACCAATGAAGTTTGACAATGGGTTAGTCAGGAAGATAAGCAAAGCTGAACCATAAATAGGAATGGTAATGGTAATGATTTCAAGAGCAGAGATTGTTTTATTGGGTTAGTATACTTCTATGCAAAGCAATTTGGAGTATTCTAACAGTATCCTTTTTTTAAAAAAATTTTGAAATAAAATATAAAGCCTTATTGTATATTTGGTCTATCTAAATTAAATGAATTTATAATTTTTTAATCTAAGTTTTATTTTTTATTTGTCCTTTGTTTTTGCATCGCCTTCCTTAACATATTCATCTTACCTCCCTCCCATTACGCAGTGAACCATCCCATGTAAGAAAGTTTCCTTGTAAAAAGAAAGACAGGAAAAAGCTATTGAGTAAACCCTTAGTGCATGTGGGACAGTGCACAGGTTTTCCCTATCTCTGCCTAGAGTTTAGGGCAACAAGAATTTATTCAGGTTTTAGTACATACCAGTTACTGTCCTAGGCACTGGGAGGATGAACACAAAGAATGAACCAATCCTTTCTCTTACAGGGAATGATGTTTATAAAGTTTAGCGGAGACTTCTTTTCTAATTAAAAAAGCAAAAGCAGGGGCAGCTAGGTGGCGCAGTGGATAGAGCACTGGCCCTGAAGTCAGGAGGACCTGAGTGTTCAAATCCAGCCTCAGACCAAACACTTGACACTTACTAGCTGTGTGACCCTGGGCAAGTCACTTAACCCCTATTGCCTAAAACAAACAAACAAACAAAGCAGAAGCAGCACAGTTAAGAGACCCTTACCCTCATTTTGCAATTTCAGAGCAATTTTTAAAGGACTCAGTGAATTTTTGTTTTGTGGCTTTGGTAATAAAGGCATGTACCATAAGAAAGGAAGCAATTTGCTATAAGTCTCATTTGCCTGGAACTGTGGTTGAGTTCCCATATGAATTTTGAAATCCAGTTATAAAATGTTTGAGTGGATTGTAGTCATTTGGTCTATCGGGCAAAGATTCATTCAGTACTAAAGGTGGAAAGATCATTTGAACGCCAGCCAGTGAGTCTGGTGGTGCTGAAGAGCTCAGAAGCCTTTTCAGACCCACAAGCTCTATTAGGTCTACAAATTTCCAAACAGATCAGTTAGCTAATAAAGGAATAGAGTAAAAGAATATTTTTAAAATAGGAAAAATAGTTTTGCAGATTTCTTTTTCTTATCTCAGATTCCTTCTTAGGAAAGGATTGTTGAAATATGGGTTAAGAAAGAAAGAAGTATTCTTAAAAGTGCTTACTAAAGGGCTATTTTGAAACATTGAAAACTTTTCATCAAGGGCTATATAACAGATTGAAATAAATAAGTAACATTTTAATCCAGTATTTTTTTTCACCTGAACTTGAAGAAAAAACCCTTTTTTAGTAACTTTATATTTTCTTTAGTATTTTTTCCTAGAATTCTTAAAACACTTTAATATACTTTGCACTCTTATGAGTCAAGAAGAGGTAAATAAAACAGAATTTTATGCTAGCCAAATCCAGAAATTCTCTAATATGTGGACTAGATTAAGCTATTTTGAGCCCCAGATAGATGTTTCTAATATGTGTGAACTAATGGATTGCATCATCTTCTTTTTTAGGGTCCTTATTCTTCATCTGAAACGATACAGCTTCAATGTGGCCCTCTCACTCAACAACAAGGTTGGACAGCAAGTGGTTATTCCAAGATATTTAACTTTATCATCCCATTGCACTGAAAATACAAAACCTCCCCTTACTCTGGGTTGGAGTGCACATACAGCAATGTAAGTCCTTGGAAAAGAAGTTCCCTTCATGCCCTTTTAGCAAGTCCAGCTGTGATCTGTCTGACGCAGATGGAGCAGTGAAATAGAATCAGCCCCAGAACAGAGCAAGGGTTTTCTTGTTTGTTTGTTGTAGTTTTCATGTAATGAGCTGTGTATTCATGGAGAAAAGTAGTGAGATAAAAAGAATCTCCTTGGGGCATAAGTCTTCCTAGAAGAGTTACTTTTTAGGGGGCACATATATTCTTCTGTGCGCTTGTAGGACAATTTGATGTATTGCAGGACTATTAAAATAAATCACTATTTCCTAATTGCTGTTCATTGGGCTGGCAAATTTCTATCAATTTAAAAAGTGAGCACTCCCAAAGTTATTAAAGGCTACTGTTACAAAGATGGATGACTGCTTGTAATAAGGATTCCTTTTTGAGTGTACATTCTACTAGGTAGCTTTTGAAGTCCCTTCAGTCTCTTGAAAATTTGTGAGACCTTACAAAGTTTTTTGTTTTTGATTTTTTTGGTTAGGCGTGGGGTTAAGTGACTTGCCCGGGGTCACACAGCTAGTAATTGTCAACTGTCTGAGGCCAGATTTGAATTCAGTTCCTCTTGACTCCAGGGCCAATCCTCTATCTACTGTACCACCTACCTGCCCCCTTGCAAAGTCTTTAACCTTAACCTCTAAACTTTAAAAAAAAAAAATACCCTAAGTTATCTTCCTTTATCTCTTTGTCTTGC